TGCTCAGTGTACAAAACGGGGAGGAGTAGCTGATACACCAGAAGGCTGTGCTACCATTCAGCAAGACCTGGACAGGCTGGAAAGTTGGGCGGAGAGGAACATGATGAAATTCAACAAGGGCAAGTGTCGAGTGCTGCACCTGGGGAGGGTTGAACCCCATGCACCAGTATAGGCTGGGGGCTGACCTGCTGGAAAGCAGCTCTGCTGAGAGGGACGTGGGAGTCCTGGTAGATGACAAGCTGACCATGAGCCAGCAGTGTGCCCTTGTTGCCAAGAAGGCCAATGGTATCCTGGGGTGCATTAAGAGGAGCATGACAGCAGGTCGAGAGAGGTTATCCTTCCCCTCTACTCTGCCCTGGTGAGACGCCACCTGGAGTACTGTGTCCAGTTCTGGGCTCCCCAGTTCAAGAAAGATGAGGAACTCCTGGAAAGAGTCCAGAGGATGATTAAGGGACTGGAGCATCTCCCCTATACGGAAAGGCTGAGAGAGTTGGGCGTGTTCAACCTGAAGAGGAGAAGACTGAGAGGGGACCTCATCAATACAGATTTCCTCTGACAAGTAGACAGAACGGGATGGGGAGCCATCACCTCCGGTGGAGCTGCCCGTGCTGCCCCATCCCAGATCAGGTGCCTGCGAGGAACAGGCTGCCTTACACCTGATTTTTCCTTCTTGGAGCAAGATCAGTACTTCAGGGCTCAGCAGTGGACCGTGTCTTTTTTTTTATTTTTCCCTCCTCCCTTCTCCCTTTCAATACCAGGGAATGACTGCCCAGAAGCCATGCCTGGCAGGGGGCGTTGTAGCTGCCTATTTACAGCCCTTCCTCCGGGGGGTGGCATCTAGGGCAGCACAGAGTAAATGTCCTGCTCTCTTTTCTTGCTGGGGACAGATTGTCAGATGGAAGGAGGAGAGTATGGAAAGGCTGGGAACCACGAATTTACCTTACTTGTTTTTATTTCAATAGTAATTACACCTGGACTTCTTGGGTGGAGCAGTAGCCCGAGAACAGCCAAGATACCTCAGGGTCAGAGGTATTGGCCATAAAACTGCGCATGGTATGATGCATTCCCTGCTTCCTTCTCTACCGAATGGTACATCCTAGCCATTTTGCTTTCTGGCTAAGCCTCTTCTATTTAAAGAGTTTTTCTTTCCTCTGTTTAGTTGAATACTGAATTTTAGAGTTATTTTCTGTTCCACATCCTTTGCAGGAGGTTCAAAGAGGATTTAATCTTTAGATAGTGCTGTTAATAACCACAAGGAGGCTGCGAACCTGAAGGAGACAGGTGGATGTATAAGGTTTTGCTCTACTTGCTGTGTTGTATTTGTGATTCTGGTTTTGCTTGTACGTATCTTTCACCAGTAATTTTATACAAATATTGCAAATAAAGAAGTGCCTGTAATACCTGAGATTCTCAGAGTCCTACTTTGTGTTGGACCAAAACTATCATCAAGGCAATAGCAGACTCTTTTCCTACTCTGAATAATCCTCCTCACTTGAATATTCAAGTGCTTTCCAGTAATTAGTTATCTTGCATAATTGCTACTTTTTTTTCTGAGGGCAGGAAGCTTTGCTTCTGTCTTGCAGAAAGAACGTGAGCTACCAGGCTGAGTGCGTTATTCCCCAGTGTTGCATGCAGAGCCTGCTGCTGCTGAAGTAGGAATTTTACTCAAATACGATTCTAGCTTTATGACGAGAACATTAGAGTAGCTGCTGCTGGTGGCACTTTGGGGTATTTTTTTATGTACAAGAGCCCTTCTGTTTTCATTTTGCTTCATTACATGTGCTGTTCATTTTGCTATCTGCTGTTTTGCTGTAGCTCCAAATCAGAGTAGACCTCCTGGAGAAGCTAATAGCGGGAATGTAAGCCCTGCAAGGAGCTACCTGCGTCCCGCTGTTTGGTCGCTGCAGAGGAGTTACTGACTCAGTGGCAGGAGTTCATCAAAACTGGAGCGTTTCAGTGGTCGCCTGTGGTATTCACAGATCTTGATGCAAAATCCTTATCAAAGTGTGTGATGTTTTAGGCCCTTTGCTGGTGTCTGTCTTCACCTGCATGCATGTTCATTAATTTTAAGGATTTACTAAAGGGTTTAGATTCTTCCTGCAAATTGCTTGGTTTCTGCTCTTAATTATTCACAATCCATGGTGTTTGATGATGTCACATTTCAGGTATTGCCTCACTTAGCTGCCTTCCTGTCTGTCTCCCCCGACCCTCCCTCAGTTTCATTTGAACAAGTGCGAAAACCATGTGGAGTGTAAAATATGAGTTCCTCAAA